TATATAAATATATATATATATATATATAACTAACTGCAGACAGTACTGTTTCGGCCTTCTGGGCCCCATATATGCAATTATAACGAACTGGTTCAAGACCTCAGAGGTAGTTCATCGTTTCATTACGACAGCTCTTTTTCGTATGGTCGAAAATGACCACACTCATCAGGTAATTTGAACGATTGACCGTTAACTTACAAGTACTGGCTATAAAAGCTGGAATACGTTTGCTACTGGAGATATAAAAACAATGCTACTTAGCTATATAAGTTATGTGACTGGCATGCATAATTTCTGAGATTGTTACTTGATTATGAAGTTCTTAAGGAGGTATCTGTCTCTATGGGGGCATGAACTTGCTAGCTCATTTCGCTTGTTTACACTGCAAAGTTCCTTTTTACATATGATCGTGAATTTTTCAGAAAGACATAAACTACATTTCTTAGTAATGTTGTTGTACGGTTTGCATTGTTTGATGATTTTCCACGCTAGCTTGAAAGTTTCGTTATTGTCCTTCAGTGTCCATATGTGTTTAGATAATTCAGTCTCGTGTCTCTTGTTTTGGTGTCGGAAGGAAGCTGTGTGGTTTCTGTACCGTTCTTTAAAGTTAGTCGCGAGTCCCGCGCATGAATCTGTTGACGTTTCAGCTGTGACTGTTGCTTGGTAGACTACGTTTGTTGTGCGGCATTTTCCCTCAAGGGGTCATTGGTCTTTTTTCCTGCGGTTACATTCTTTGTATAGTGTTTGTGGTGAATTTTGTGTCTGGTTGTAATCTGATAGTAGCTTTTTGTTGTGTAACGCGATGATTGTTTTGACGTTAGGCATGCAGGAGTAGGTTATCCTTAGTTTGTGGCGATTGAAGATCTTATGTAATGGATGGTTTTTCGGGAAGCACCTTGTTACGAGGATCGAATTATTTTTACTGAATCTGTCACGCAATCCCAGAATTTTCTAGAATTATCTATAATCTGTAATATTCCAGAAACTTCTTTCATGTGACTCAGCAGTTTCCAAAAATAGTACAACTTGTAATACGCTATTTATAGTAATAGAACATTCTAGATAACTGAAGTAAATGTATAAAAGCTGGCTTGTGAGAAGTACACAAGAGATTTGCCCAAGGGCTAACCCTCGTGGCTTGCTGACTGAACTTGTGGAAGCTATGATGTGACAAGGCTGTGACCTTTTGACCTTGCGATATCCGGAGAGGAGAAAGAGATGAAAAAGACGATAGTCGAGAGAGGAAGAAGATAGAGAATACTGACTTTACTATGGAGTCTTCCGGTAGAGTTTGTGTACAAGGAAAGAATGCGATAAATCAAGAAAGCCAAGTGCTGTGGTCTTCAGTCGGCGGAAGTTGGAATTGGAGGTTGATCAAGACGATGAACACTTTTACGGCATAAAGGATTGTACGCCTGCTTTATGAACTGCTTGACTTAATCTTTGACCTAAGTAAAGTA